TTTTTTTCGCTTTTTTTGTTTGCTTTCACTCCAGAATACAAGAAGCAGCGACGTCTAAATTACGAAAATACGAGCTATCCCGCTGACGGATAAAAAATACGGAAAATCTTATTTTCTGTGCGTGAAATCGGAGAAAATAGCTAATATAAGTAAACATGCGGAAGGATTAGCAGCTAGGACGTAGTTTGAATTTTCTGTTTTTCTTTGAAAATCGTAAATAAATATAATAATTTGACTTCAACAACTGAATTTTTTTTAAAAAACGGGATATTTATAAATAAATAAATAAAAAAAACGAAACTTTTAGAGAATCTGAGTTTTTGATAAAAAGGCTGAAATTCGAGAGAAAAAAGCGAAAAAAATCTCATCCCTGTATAAAGGTCAACCAGTTTTATCCCAAGGAAATGATTTTTAGAGAAACTTCAGAGGGAGGAATTAGGACTTCAATAATTTCGCTCCGCGGAAAATTAGATTCCTCATAAAATATTTTAACTTGTGCAAAAAAAAATTTCGGCGGAAATTAGCGGGAAAAGTGGAAAAATTTGAGAAAAAGCGGAAATCCGCGAATCCGCGGAAGAATCTCATCCCTGGCAATAATAAACAATAAAAAAAAAGTTATACAAGAAAATTTTTTATTTTTTCTGAAACTATTTTATTCTTTCAATTGACAAGCTTAAAGGTGTAGATCTACTGATGTTATTTGTCCGATGGTTTCGTTTGAGTCTCTGTTTACATTCTTTCAATAAATGTGATCCAAAAAAAAGGTATTAAATTCCAAGATTTATCTTGGCTTAGATTCTTGACCCAGTATCATGCTGCCTTGAAGTGGGCTGAACCAAAGATTGGGAACAGATGGTAAGACAGTACAGGACAGTACAGACAGTAAAAGAGATGCAGTAAGCACGATTTGGGAATTATCTCCTCTTGCCATGCCACTTGGTTCTTGAACAATTAGGAGTTTGTTACAGCAATTTTATTCACAATTAAAATCCTTAATTAAAATGAAGGATAGATAATGGACAGAAATTTTCGATATTTTTAAAAGCAAAAACAGAAATTAATACTAAGAAAATGACATAAATACCTTCTTGTATTAAATCTTTCAAACCAGCATATTCATCAGACATGAACTCCTCAGAGCCGATTATAAATGGTAAGGGACGATTCTCATATGGATTCTTCAAAAAAAAAAAGAAGAAGAAAAGACAATCTTAATTAAAAAGTTTTATCAAATGAAATAGTTTAGAAAATCATGTGTATAAAACATATCAATCAACTCAAGACCTTAACACAAAAGGGTGTATTTATTTCCCGCTCCATACCAGCTAAAAATGATTCTATCTGTTTCAGCATAGTTTGTTTTTTCAGAAAGAATGTACAGCTACCATTTTTAGTTCGTACATTTTGTACAGTAGTTTATATGAATCACAGCAGTTTCTTACCTAACTCAACTCGTACGAGATTTGAAATCTCTCTTGGTATCCCAGCAGCACAATATTTATTGTATACATATAGTGCTTGTATCATTTGTGTAAGACTATTAAACAGAAACCAGGGAATTAAATAGTGAGAATCTAAATACGAAGTAATTAATAATTATTTATAATATTATAAGTATTCATTATTTTCCCCATTGCCCACCTGGAAAATGGCCTTTCGTTATACAGGCATCTGAATGGTAGTAAGACATTCAGGGGCACCATATTAGGTGAGCTAACGTTGCTCCCACTGTAAGGACAGATAGTACAGAGAAGGAAAAAACATCCATGCCTTGCCCGGGATTCAAACTCACGACCTTTCGGATGCAAGGCCAGTTCCCTGACCCCTACACAGGCCGGTCGACAGCATTAATATTAAAAAAAATTTCAAATCAAGTTAAAATTGCCATCAATGCGAAAAGTTAATATATTGTGAATTTGTAAAATATGATGGGCGTTCATTACAAAACTTTTCAAATCTTATATTAAAGCTTGATATAACTACTTGTCACATATACACTTAATGTAATGTGACAATTTATTTTCTAATTTTACCTAAGCCTTTAATTTTTCTTTAAACATTATTCCTTTTTTTTCAATTTAGCAATTTTTTAACTTTCTTGTTGACCTTTCTCGTGGTCAATGCGGCCATCGCACTTCCTGTGAGGAAAGTCAACCAACCCCTCTATTCACGCCTTTCTTTTTCTTCTTTTAATTTTAGGGGGGCTAACTAACCAATCTCTTTCCCTTAAATTTCAAACTCTCCGCCTCTTTAAATTTAATTGGCCGTAATTTTTCTGGTCCTATACCAGTTAAGGAATTTTTAAGTCACTTTTAGGACGATTCTCTTTTTGTGCTTCTTTCTAGCAGGTTATCTTTTTTTTAATTCTCTGCGATGCGGACTTCGGTCCGTATCGAGGGGACAGTTTTTTTACATTCTTTTTCTTAACCTTATTTGTCTTTAAAAGTTTAAAGCCTTAATTGTAATCAATTTCAATAAATCATACATCTACATGTTATATCTTTTTTTAAAGCATTAAAGACCCTCTTAAATTAAGCTTTCCTTCTATAAATGTCTTTTCAATAGTTAAACCTTTTGTTGCTATCCTTTTTTATGCATGACATAATTTCTTTCGTCACCCATTTCTATTAAAGGTGTTCCTAATGTTAAAATTTGTTTTAAAGATGTCTTTCCACTAGTTATGTTGTTAGATATTTTTCTTAAATAAATCTTAAACGCAAGTTAAAAATGTGTGTTTCTTTTGATGGTTGTCTTTTAAAATGTCCTGTGTGTACAGGGTGAGTACCTTTCAATTATTGTTATAGGCATGCATAAACGTGAATTTATTAGTTTTTCTTATTGGAAACATCAGCTTACTGTATGTATTAAATATATATATATTTGGATATGGCATGACTTTATTGTTTTTATCTTTAATCTTAAATTTATTTTTAGTTTCGCTCCTTTTCCAAATTTGGTGATACCAAATCATCCAATTCGTTCAAACCTCACACTTTGTGACCCTTTGAACCTATTGGGTTATTGTTATCCGACATAAGCATTGTACTACCACTTTCCTTAACGATCACATCCCAATTAATTTAATTTAATTATATGTTATAAGTTTTGGCTTTTAATTTATTTAACATGACATTTCAATCATTTACCTATTATTAATCATAACTATATCCAGAGATACATCCAATTATGCAACCCATCCATTTTAATAATAATACATAAATAACTTTACTTTATACGCACCAAATAATATTTTTAATTTAACTGTTACATTTCTTTTCCTTTTAATGTTTATTTAAATGAAATTTTTCATTAAAACAGCAAGTTCTGAAAATCCAGCTTTACACTGGTATGAAGTAACAAAGTAAATAAGAACAATCTTTTCGCTAAGGGTACTTAAATACAAAACAACTCTAAAACAACAAATTACTAATTGAAGGATTAAACATTAATATTAGATTCAAATTCATGGCCACCTAGTAACACCCCACTTCCCATAGCTTAATTACCGTGGTTCCTAAAGTGAACCACACTATTTAGCTAATTCTACTGAAATTACAATACATTTTTAACAACAACAGTTTTAAGTAATAATATATTTTTAAGTAACAATACATTTGAAATAACAATATATTTTTAAAGGTAATTAATATTTTTAATAAAATTATATTCTTTTATTCAGTTAAATGTGAATTAAATTTTATGTAGCAAAGTACAGTGTTGCTCACACCACTAGTAAATAGCTGAGGGTGGGGAGTTCAATCCCGACGGTCATCAAAACAACAGGCGTGTACACGCAAAAAGGTTCAAATCTGTTGTGGTTGAAAGTCCTCTTGTTGTGATGTGAAAGGTTGCAGAGAGGTGTACAAACTCAGACATTGTCCCTGTTCTTTGACAGGGGCCAAAATTACATGGCATCTCCCTACTAAGGCCATTAAAAATAAAGCCGTGCAAAATGCGCATGTTAGTATAAAAGTAGACACTTCCTTTGCTTTTATGATTTTTTCCACTTTACTCTTTTCGCAGTTTTAATTGGCTTTCAAGGTGAGGTAATAAATAATAAAAAGGATTTGATAGAAATTAATGGCGTCTCCTGTTATTCAGGGCCAGATTTTGAAGACATTTGCAGTTTTTGACACTTTTGCTCATTTAGAACATTTTTTTATACAAATTTCCATGCATATTTTTGAGATTTTAAGACATTTAATTTCATTTTAGATGTTAGATATTTAAAAAAAAAAATTCACACATTTTTTTAAACAATAGTTCCTTTGGTCATCTTGGCGATGTTAATTAAATGAAAAAAGAGTTGCAGCTGAAAAATGATTTATTGTTGCGCTGCATAATGTAAAATACAGTATGCTGGACAACTCTTAACCGCAATCCACTTCAATTCTGATTTCCTATAATTTCACAAACTTAAAGTTTTGAAGTATATATAAATATATGCCAGTGAACATATATCAAAACAGTTTTTCTTTCCACTTTAGTTTTTTGTTACTTTTGCATTTAACATTAGTTTCAAACTTTAATAAGATTCATAGAACAAGTTTGATTAAATGACATGCGTGGCATAACTACCACTACGATTATTAAACATCAATTCATTAGTATATAAGAAAGGCTAACTCAATTCAATCTTGATATACCTTTTCTTAGATGAAGGTTGGCATAGTCGAAAGCTCTTTCCCCACACATGCTCTAATACAATTAAGTGTAATATGAAATTTTAGAAAGGGAAAGATGTTAAAGAATTACAAGGGAATTTTCTTTTACTTTAAGCACATTTTTCGCTATGTTTGAAAGCATTTTTAAGGTTATTTAAGTCATCAAAATCTAGGTACTAGTTATTACCTTAGGTTCCAGTATAGTGCGACCTTCAGAAGACATATCTTCATCTTCACTGTCGGATATTTCATTCACATTTATTTTGTTGAAAGCTTTGTCTAGAACAGACATTCCCAATTCTAGTGCCTTAACAATTTTCGGTAACATTTCTGCTTCCCTTTGTTCTTTCGTTTTCTTTAAGAAAAAAAAGTTTTGTAATAAAAGGAAAAACGGTGAACCATAACAAATGAAACAAAATGTCAATTATTTTATAACAAATAAAAATAACTAACTTCAACTGGCTTTGTATCTGGTACAGATTCTTGTACTTCTTCATCATACACACGCTGTAATAAAAAATTCCACTGAGTACTTGAGGGGAAAAACAATACACACTAAAAAAATCTTATGCTAAATAAAGAAAATGAGGATTTCAAATGAATATAGAAAGAGTATAAATGAAAATATGACAGCATAAGTTCACATTAAGATTAGATAAAAATTAGACAATTAGATAAAAATTTATAAAAATTGTGTTATCATTTAGTATATTTGAAATTCAAATGCCATGTCAATCTCAACAACTATACAAATAAAATGACTTACATTTTCCACAAATTGCAGATTTGAGAGCATGTGAAAATCATTCATAATGTTGTTTACTTTTACAGATACCATCTAGAAAAATACAAAATACTTCAACAACTGGAAATAATTCATAGGGAAATAAAAGAAAAATTTAAAAACAAATCTAATCATTATAAACATAACATAAAGAAAAAATTCAGCAGATTTAAATAAAAATTTAATCAAACTTTTGTATATTATAAGAATTGAATCAAACTTTGGTACTATGAGGTATTGCTTACATGGTAAGGTATTTGGTCTTGTTCTGGTCCAAAGACAAAGCTGTAGCTAAAGGCAAGTCAGTTTTGTAAAAAGCTAGTTCTTTGTGAATTACTTTCAAAGCTGAGTTTGCTTTGCTTATATATTGGATTAAGTTCTCTCTTAGTCAAGAAGTATATTAAATAATAGTATATTTTTAAAAATAAAAATTTTGATTTGCAAGATATATAAATTTTTATATAATTTTAAAAGAATGTTATCTTATATGACAAAATACAAAACTTGAACAAAATTGGTTGAAAAATTCTTGAGAAATAAAATTGTAACATCCGACTTTTTTAAAATTTGTTCAATTTTGCCATAAAAAATTACATCTTTTGAAAATGACATAAAAATTTGCATAACTTACAATACAAAACTTTATAAACTATTATAAAATAAAAAATTAAGTAATTATTAAAACCATTTTTTTGATGGAAGTAACTAAATTTTATAATTAAGTTCAAAAAGTTTTGATTCAAAAATTCTCAAGATATGGTGAAACATGCAAAAAGTAACTTTAAGGAGTCCAAATTTCTGACCAAAATATTGGGACCAGTAACCGTCGGTTAAACAGCTGATGCAATTTTGGGTTTACGACTACTGATGTTCAACTCCTTAGCCTTGTAATTGCTAAGACAATTCAGAAGACAAGGGAACTTTTGGATCAAGCATTAAGAGAAATTTATGTGGAGGACTTTTTGATGGAACTAACCCACATTTGTGTAACATGGAGAGGAAAACCACTCCCACGGTTAGCCTGACAGCAAGGGGAATCTAACCCATGATCCACTACCACTGAATATATTTTATATCAGCACGGTGGCCAGTGCAAGTCAGGTGGGGAATTTGAATCGATCAGTCGTTGCTGGGATTAATGGACTTCCAATGAGGTTAACCAGCTCAGCCATTGCTGAGTCAGTTAATCTCATTGGAAGGCAAGCGCTCTATCTCCACGAGCCACGACAGCTCCAGTTTTTCAAGAATTGTGGCTTTTACCCATATATTGAAGGTCAGATAGCCTTACCCATTGAAGAAAAGAAATTTCTATTCTGAGTAAGTTTACTTTTATGCCTGATTTAACTTAAAATGTAGTCTGCTCTAATTAATTAGCTTATTTAAGATTGTTCCATTGATGAAAGATTGTTCCATTTTTTTATGTGTTGAATACTTTATTTAAATGCATTTCAAATCAAATTGGAAATTACATGTGATGCACACAAGTTATGAACTTTCTTTATATACACAATTCTAAATTTCTGCCTAATGGGACAGCAATTTTAATTTTTTTTTTTATTCCATCATGAAATCATTATGCAACCTGCATAACAAGCATAATTAAAAGAGAAATATAGCACAGTTTTTTTACATGAATAGTTCTCTTTTCTAAAATCTGCTCAGTTTCTAGCTCATTTTACTGACTTGAATATAATTTTATGTAGTGGTATTTCACATGATTTGCTTCTTGAATAAGAATCAGTGGTACACCAGTGTTATTACATAGCATCAGTGTTGAGCAATAACAATCAATTTTGTGAATTCAGGATCTTTACATTCATCCCAGATATATTAGCAGGAGTCTGTTATCTTTAGACATTAATGATGAATAATTCAAACGAAGGCTTTGTTCCTAACAGTATGAAATTATTACAAATTATTATTTGTAATAATTTCAACAAAAATTTTACAAGTAATTTTTACACTCTCTGTATATTTTTTAAGGAGAGAAACTCAAATCTGATGCAGGAAATAGATATGTTGAAGCCTATTGGCGATGTCTGAAGGTAACACTCACATCAGGGTATCTGTGAGGGAGTCAAAATCCTGAAACCTGTTAAGTATCATGAAAAGCTAGAACTTTTGAGTAGGTAGCTCTGATATATAAAAATCAAGTTATAAGCAATCAGATGAGCATAAATTAAGCAAACAAGTGAGCAGAAAAGTTTTCACCAAGGCAGAATATTTCTCATTATTAAAAATTAATACTGACATCATTAGAATTCCCATATTCTATCTTACCTTCATTTTTAGAAAATTAGGATACAAAAGGTAGGTACTTCATTTATAACGCACTAGTGCTGCGCGATTTACTATTGGCAATGGTCTGGGAAACATCCTTGAAGATGATCCGAAGACATGCCAACACAATTTTGATCCTCGGCGATGGAGATGGCTCCACCGCTCTATTAGCTCGACCACCTGCACGCAAAGCCGAGCACTTTACGGTAGAACAGTTTAACGAGGACCAGTACAGCACAACCTTAGTACCAATGCAGGGTGCTCAAAGTTGTCACCCACCTGCCTACTGACTGCAGCCAGTGATGCTTGACTTCAGTGTTCTACTGAGAACCAAGTCTTTACGATCAGTGCGACTAAGATACAACAACAACTAGTTTAATGTCTTCAAAAAACTACAACATTTAAAGAAATATATGCTGATTTTTTTTAAAAGTGCTATAATTTTTATAACATTATATTCATTATTCTATACATACCAGCATATATTTCTTTAAATGTTGCAATTTTTCTTAAAACATTAAACTAGGACACAACAACAACTAGTTTAATGTCTTCAAAAAACTACAACATTGAAAGAAATATACACTGATTTTTTTTAAAGTGCTATAATCTTTATGAAACTATTGTGTTTATTATATACATACTCTCAATGTTACAGTTTTTTTAATACAGTAAACTAGGATACAACAGCAACTAGTTTAATGTCTTCAAAAAATATATTTAAATAAATATATGCTGGTATGTATATAATAATCAATATAGTTTTACAAAAATTATAACTCTAAAAAAAATCAGTGGGTTTCAGACGAATTTTGTCCAAATTTGGTGGTAATAGAAAGAATTGAAACTAGTTAAAAGAGTAAATAAATTGCAAGCATAAAGTATTTTGATTGTGTTTACAGAAAGTTTTTTATTTTATCTAAGTCTGTAAGTTATCATTAGGGCTGCAGGTTTGGCGCGGCGCGAATTTCCGAGATAATTTCCGCGAAATTGTCATCTTTTTTCCTAAAATCCGCAAATTTCTCAATATATCTTGACTTGCTCGAAAATTGCTTAAAATTTGATTTTTTTTCATTTTTTTATTATTATTTTTATTAAACAGAATTTTTTATTTTCCTAAACCTTAAATTGAACATGTAAAATTGATTAGATATTTAGGGGAGTGAATCAATAGCAAAATGACATGAAAATAGTTCAGAGATAAGAGATAATCACAATCTTGTCAACTAAGGTGGTCTTTCTACACTTAGGGAGGGTAATTACCTTCCTGAAGTCAGTAAGAGTACAAAAGAAATTGGAATCACA